TGTATAGTATTTTGCTATGACAATGACTATTCAATCATATTGTTTATACAAGCTTAGGCAGAATTAGTTATTAACTTAATTAAATTACCAATTTAAAAGTGCCAACGTGTACCTGTCACGACCCGCCTTTCTCACCCTCGGAAGTTGTGATGACACCTACTAGTGAAAGCTAGGCAAGCCGATTAGTCCAATTATCTAACCATTTTCATTTTTAATCCTTTAGCAATTCCAAAACAATATAACAAAACAGCGAAAATGATAATAAATAAAACAGTGCGAAAGACGAAACTTGATAATTTTGATTAATACAACTACGCAAGTCTAAGTACAACTCTATCCAGAATTTGGTGTCACAATTACACAGACTGCCTAAGAGTACTACAAGTAGGAGTCCGAAAGATAAATACAAGTTGTTTTAGAAATACATAGAGGAAACAATATATAAAGATAGAAGGAGACGCCAGGGCCTGCGGACGCCTGCAGGACTACCTCGGGTCTCCTGAATGGACTGAAGACAACACCCTCACTGCGGTCCAAAAGCTGCAGCATTGGGATCTGCACACAGTGCAGAATGTAGTATCAGCACAACCGACCCCATGTGCTAGTAAGTGCCTAGCCTAACCTTGCCGAAGTAGTGACGAGGCTAGGACCAGACTACCAGATAAACCTGTGTAGTTAAATCATATACAACAAAAAATAAAAGCAGGAACATACAGTCAAGGAGGGGAGGGGGGAAACATGCTGCGAGGAACCTCAAGTAATAACAGAAGAACAACAGATAAATATAAGGATCACCAAAGTTCAATTACCAACAAGAATCAGAAATAAAAGACAAGTGCACGACATCACCCTTCGTACTTTTACTCTCGTCCTCACCATAAGAATCAATAAAATCTGCACGTACGGCATCACACTTCGTGCTTTTACTCTCGTCCTCACCATAAAAATCAATATAATCGGCACAGAATTGTACATCGTGCGGCACGACATCACCCTTTGTGCTTTTACCTTACAATATTGGCACGACATTACCCTTCGTGCATTAACACTCTCAAATTCATACACGACATCATCCTTCGTGCTTTACACTTTCTCACAAATGTCATGCACGACATCACCTTTCGTGCTTTAACACTCTTCCTCACCCAAGCAACAATCACAAAGCAATTTGGGGAAGGGAAATCAATAATATCACAATAACATCCCGACAAGGGAACAATAACAAAACAACAATGTCACGACAAGGGAAACTATCATCATGAATAATAGCGTCCCGGCAAGGGAAATAATATCAAAGCAGTAACATCCCGGCAAGGGAGATAATATCATAACCTCTTCTCTTTTCCACATTTACTTCACAACTCAATTCTCAACTTGAGCCAATGTTCTACAATGTTCAATTACCAATAATAATTTCACAAGTCTTATTCATCCATAGAAATCAACATATAAAGCATGAACAATATGAAACGGAGTCACATTAGTCATAGTATAAGACTCACGGGCATGCTTGACACCAACGTATAGATACTCGTCACTATGCCTATACGTCGTACTCAACAATTAACATATAGCAAATAAGACTCAACTCCTAATCCCTCAAGCTAAGGTTATACCAAACACTTACCTCGATGCCACGAATACAATTCAAGCCTCAACTACCGCTTTACCTCTTGTTTCCACCATTAACTCGCTTGTATCTAGCAATAATTTACTTAACGATATCAATAAATACTAATTGAAACAATTCTAATGCATGAAAATAGGGCTTCCAATGATTTTCCCAAAAAGTCAAAATTCGACCTCGGGCCCACTTGGTCTAAACCCGGAATCCGTACCAAAACCCGATTATCCATTCACCCCCGAGCCCGGATATATAATTAGTTTTGGAATCCGACCTCAATTTGAGGTCTAAATCCCCAAATTTTCATATTCTTAGGTTTTACCCAAAATTCCCAATTTCACCATGAAAACCCTAGATTCTAGGATGAAATCCTGTTAAAAGAAGTTAAGGAGTGAAATAAATAAGTTAAAAATCACTTACTAGTGTTTTGGGAGAAGAAAAAGTGTTGGAAAAATCGGTTCTTATGTTTTAGGATTTTAAAAAGTGAAAAATAACTGAAAAGTCCGCTTAAATATACTCCTCTCAGACCCTCTCCGCGGACCGCATAAAAAGGATTGCGTCCGCGGAGCTCCACCGCGGAACGCAAGAAATCGAGCGCGGCCGCGAAGGCTAGACATTGCTCACCGCGGACCGCATAAATCCCACCGCGGTGGCAAAGGCTCCACCACGGTCGCGAAGTTTCCACCGCGGACCGCGAAACCTGGCTTCAGAGACCTGCAACTTCTCTGAACCTGCAACTTTTCTTCTAAGTGTAAAAACATCCCGAAACCTATCAGAAACTCACCCAAGCCCTCGGGGCTCCAAACCAAACGTGCATACTAATTCAAAAACATCATATGGACTTACTCGTGCGATCAAATCGCCAAATTGATACCTTTAACAACGAATTTAGCATCAAAATTAAAGGAAAAATCTCATGAACTCTTAAGTTCCATTTTTAACAATCGATGGTCCGATTCACGTCATTTCAAGTCCGTTTCTTACCAAATTTTACGGGCTCAACTTAAATACCATATACGATATGTACCGGACTCCAGAACCAAAATACGGGCCTGATACCATCAAATTTCAATACATTCAGATTTCCAAAAACTCTTAAAATTTCAGAAAATAATTTCCTTTAAATATTCATTTCTCGGGCTTGGGACCTCGGAACTCAATTCCGGGCATACACCTAAGTCCCATATTTTCCTACGGGTCCTCTCTCCGGGACCGTCAAATCACGGGTCCAGGTCCGTTTACCCAAAATATTGACCGAAGTCAACTTGAATTTATTTTAAAAGCAAAACTTATCATTTTTCACAGATTTTTACATAATAGCTTTCGGGATACACGCACAGACTGCGCACACGAATCAATGTGAGACAAAAAGGAGGTTTTAAGGTCTCGGGACACTGAATTTACTTGCAACACAATTGATGACCTTTTGAGTCATCATAGTACCGGTTATTAGTAAAATAACTAGAAAAAAATTATCAGTTTTTATATACGTAATACACTCGTTAATATTGTTAATATTTTAGGTATATATATAGTGTTACGTAATAAGTGACTAATTTATAAAAATAATTAAATCGATGAACAAACTTAAATTGACTGGTTAATTTAATATCCTGAATATTATGAAAAGTAACATGCAAGAAATTGTAGTTATGTTACATAACTTGAATGAGAAAATGATTTATGTAAGGTAAAATCGTATTTGATTTTAAAATTCAAATTAAAATTATTTTTAGGAAATGGGTCAGTATCATAGTATTGTCCAAATTATCTTTTGCGATTAACAAAGATCTTTAATTTAGGACTCTTAGCGTTTTGATATTTTAAATGGTAAGTTGTTTCTGTATATGCTCATATTTTTATTTCTTTTGTTGAGAAATGGTATATGTCAACATTGAACATCAATAATTTTCTATTTAATTCGGTTCTATCAAATAAATATCAATTTTTTTTCCTCTTAACAAATAAATCTCAAACTTCCTGCGGATTCTTAGCAAAAGTATAGGAATAACTTGTGAACGTCGTTGATGCTAACATGGAAGTTATTAATATGTTACATGAGATGCTACATTACTAAAATAAGAGAATGAGTTATTTAAGGTAATGCTTTAATTTATTTTAAATTTCAAAATATTAGGACATTTTACATAGTTCAAATAAGAAGATATTTAATAAGTAAAATATCAGTTGATTTAGAAGTCCTAATTATTAGGAAAAATTATTAGATTACGATTTGTCCCATGTGAAATTGATTTCTAGAGGGTAAAAAAGGCGAACAATATTTCGCTAAGGGTCTTCGTACTTTTACTATAGTGTATGTGTGTGTGTATATGTATATATATATATATNATGTGTCTAAGTCACACATCATGTGTTGCACTTTCAACACTAGATCAAAGCCATATATGCTTTTTTTTATATCCCGTTATTATGTGAATTTTATGAAAGAAGTTTAAGCGTCTTTTAATATATTTTATTTTAGGCCACCAGTTTCGTTGAGCCATTGCCCCATGAACGTTATGTTCAACTAGCTTTATTTACATTTGATAATTGAATGACACATTCACTGCCTTTAATATTCTTTGTCATTATTGTCTTGTCTTAATTGAGACTCTATAAAATTTGATTGAGAATCTCGGGGATAGATGGGTGGCTCAAGTGGGAGGCTAGTAAAGCCTTGATTTAGGCCCTCAGAATTTGAGGCCCCAAAACAATTTTAGTAGTAAATTTTATGATTTTATTTTAATTTAGATAATATAAAAGTTTGTAGAAAAATAAAAAAGTACAAAATTCTTATAAAAATAAAGAAAGAAAAACTGTCTAGTCTTTGACAATAATACTAAATATTTTTATTAGTATACATAAATTTTTACAACAATATCAAAAGTAATATATTGTAAATATATGCCTAGCATCTTATTATTTAAATCACCCCTTACTAATATAAATAATAATATTAGCTTTATATTATTTAAGAATATTATACTATAAACAAGAAGTACGGGAAAAATGCCAATACTAACTTTTCTTGCAAGTATAAGGAATTTTATAAAAATTTGACTTTAATTTCACTAATTTTATTGAAAGGCTCTTGGCGAGAGAAAACATGTATTGTTTACACATTTGGATATTATTGGAGTTGTCCAACAAATTAATTAAATTATATAAACGTGGTAAATTTTTAATTTTTAATTTTTAATGCATATGAAGTTTAGATTCTAGAACATGGCCTTCTCTTCCGCAGCTTTCTAAAACCTCTTTTTTCAATTTTGCCGGCAAACCATAGACTTCCCATTTTCCTCGCCAGCGAAACACTTTCTACAACTCCATAGCCCTATGCACGATTCATTAAAGCTTTCTCTTTTATAAACAAAAAACTTAATAAAAATCCTTGCATCACTCTCTCATTCTCTCTCACACTATCAAACAAGAATAATAGAAGCCACTTATTTTTAATAGTCTCATCTCTCTCCTCATGTTTTCTCTCTTTCAAATAAAGGGAAACATTTCATTTAGTGGGGTTTGAGTTATTTGGATATTCATACACTATATTTTAAGCTTCTCATTTTTTGTCTGAAAATTATTCTTAGGATTCTACAAGAAAGATGACATGAAGGATCCTTGAGAGTTATTTTTCTTTTGGAGTGATGCAATGTTTTTGTGGCTTGATTTTGTAAATTTTCTTTTTTTAAAAAGGAATATTTTGATTTTCTCTCCTTCAATTTAAAGAAAAATCAAACACAATGTCAATGGGGGAGTAAAAACCTAATTAAGGTTTTCGGGGTCATGATTGATACTGTGTTTGTTTAGATAAACATGTAAACAGAGCCAGTACTAGAATTTTGAGTTTATGTTTTTTGAATTTTAATAAAAGGAGCTTTCTTGATTCTGAATAAATTATTTATACATATATATTAAGTAAATTTTTTAAGATCGAAGGAGAAGCTAGGGTTCAAAAGGGCCAATGAAACTGCTAGTGAACTGACTTTCTACGCCTTCTCTCTTGCAAATGAACTAAAACAAATATAAAAATTGAATCCAAATTACTGGATTCGGCGAGAACTGTAGCTCCTGCATGTGAGTAGACTTCTTCTGTTTCCTTTTTCCAAACAAAATGGAAAGAAATATTGGAGAGCCTACTGATGACTGGAATTCTCAAATTGTTGGAAATTTGGACTCAGAAACAATGTTAGATACTCAAGAAAGTGATGTAAAAATTGAAGAAAGAAGTGGAAATACAGAAAATGGGAGTTTATTTCCCAATAATAATAATAAGCGCAGTAGCATTGCGGAGCGCCGGGCAGCAAAATGTGGTTTCAATGCGTCTACCATTAGTATAGCCCGGTTTAGGGTTACAACTACAAGTATGCCGGAGATGTCGCCGCCAACGGCTCGGCCAACTTTTCTGACAATACCTCCGGGACTAACTCCGGCAGCATTGCTCGACTCTCCTGTTATGCTCCCAAATTCACTGGTACTTAAATGGTCTCTCTAATTTTCTTTAAAAGTCTTTTCTAGCTTTTAGAAATTCTTGAATGTGAAATTGCATGAAAATGTGATGTATGTATAAAGCTGCTTAAAGGTGCATGTCAGGTGATGTTTGTTAATCTAAAATTGAATTGTGATAATTAAGAGTTTAACTTGTATACATTAAAGGCGTAGAATAATTTTACTCCTAAGTACATATTAAGTAGAATAAGTAACTTGAAAAATAAAACATATTAAAAACACTACTAGTATAAAATAAATTTATACCGTCACAGTATATAAGTTATATCCTTGTAATAAAGTATTAAACTGTAAAATGAAAATGAAATAAATAACCTTGTTGATAAAAATACTATGGAAGCAATCCAAATCATTTGTATTTACTATATTTCTCCCAAGTAGTCCATGCAAATTTGTTGGAGACTTTTGTTTCTTCAATCATGTTTACGTGTATTCAAGATTTGCTAATTAGGGACAAATGAGAAAAGATTCTTCTAATTTCAGTTGTAAAAGCTGCTTGTAACACATCGGATTACAAAGTAGTTTCAGTTTATACTATTTTTAGCTCGACTCTTACGCTCCATTTGGAAACTAAGAAGCTGGTGAGGAAAAAAAAAATATAAATGGAAAAGAAAATTAAATCCAATGAAGTTGAATATTTAATCCATAAATTCAGGTTACAAACTGTACTAATCACTTTTGCAAGATGCTCAAATCATGCAGTTGAGATTTTTCAGGTGAGACGTCCTTGTAAAATGCGATTGTTTAATCCATTGAAATAGTCCCCTATATTGCTGGAAACTTGTTGAGAAAAAACATAGTATTCGATTTGTTAGCCAAAAATAAACATAACTTATTGATGTTACGTTTATTTTCACTGTGATTATTAGATTCTCTAATACAAACTGTTTAAGATGGTTATTTTTTTGGTAATAGCAAATTAGTCAAATGAGAGCAAATCCACTTTTATTTGTTATGGATAAATTGCTAAAAGATCTCGTCTTAACTTTTTTGAGTGATTTCAGGAAATGTATGGTGGAGTTGCAACAACGTACACTAATAAATCAAACTGCAATTTCAGAATTTCTTAAACGCTTAAATTCTCAATTGAAATTTTATTTCCAGCTTAATTATATATATACAATCAAACCTCTCCATAACATCGTTATTTGTTTCGAATATTTTTAGATGATATAGCGAATTGTTGTTATAAAGAACATATATTATAGCAAAACATGACATTTGTTCCGAAAGAAACTTAACTTTTATAGTGAAGTGTTGTTATATAAGAATGTTGTTATAGAGATATCTGACTATACTTGTTGTTATCTTCATAGGCACCACAATCTCCAACCACTGGAAGCTTTCACTTCTCCAATATCAATCAAGAAAACAGAATGAAGAGTACTCCTCAGGTACAAACAATCTTATATTAAGGCTAGCTTTGTATATACGCTTTTCTATTTATGGCAGAGCTAGGTGTCCAAAGCTAGAAGCAAGTAGAATATTCAAAGCTTTTGAGTAAGTAAGATGGATGAATTTGAAAGTAAGTGAAAGAACTAGTTGCATAGATATAGATATAGAAAAAGTCCTTTATTTTCAGAAGGTGAAATTAGGATTTTTGAGATTAGTTCTAACGTAGAACATGTTCAACAAACAAGAATTCTACCAATAATCGACGTTTGAGATTTTTCTTGTAATACTTACGCGTTAATTACAACCTACTTGTACTAACTACATTAATAGAAGTCGATAAAAATACTTGGAAAACAGTTTTACTAATTATACTACATTTGGCCTTACTTGATTACTATCCTTTTTTTTTTCAGCAGACGAATAGACAGGAACTAAAAAATTAAATATTATTCTTGTGCGTCCTACTGCCATATTTAGCTAGCTGGTGCCCTACTTTTTCTTCCTCTATAGTTGTGATTAATATGTTAATTAGTGAGCTTGCTGAGTAAGGACCTGCAATCATGCATGAGAGTAGAGGAAATTATCTAATTTGAATAATATTGGGGTAGTGTAAATTCCGGGACGGCTCAAGAGGAAGCTAGGCTAGTAAAGCTTTTGCCTTAGGCTTTCAAAATTTTGAGGCCTCAAAGATTTTTAATATTGATAAGAATTAACTCAAGTTAATCAAATATTAGCCATATGTTCGCAATATCTTGGATGTTATTGTAAACAAATTATTTGCTAATATAAAAATTTAAATAGTTTAATTAAAAGTTTACAAAATTTATACAGTTAATTAAAAAGTAGGCAATAATCTTTCTTTCCTTCCTTTTTAATAAAGATTTTATAATATTACTATGCGAGTGTTAAATGGAAAAAGGGAAACTCGCATCCCATGTCCTATGTGATAAAAATGTATCACCAAGATTTAAAGGTAAGCTGTATAGAGTGATTGTTAGACTAGCTACGTTGTATTGGATAGAGTATTGGCCAGTCAAGAACTCACACGTTCAGAAGGTGAAAATAGCGGAAATAAGGATACTTAAATGGATGTGTGGATATATTGGAGAGATAAGATTAAGAACGAAGATATACTAGGCAAGGTGGGAGTGGTCTCCGTGATGGACAAGATGCGGAAAGCGAGGATGAGATGGATTGGGCATGTATGGAGGAGGAGCACAGATACCCCATTGAGGATGTGCGAGAGATTGACATTGATAAGTCTGATGAGAGGTAGAGGTAGACCGAGGAAGAATTGGGGAGAGGTGATTAGACAGAACATGACACATCTTCAGCTTATGAGGACATGATCGTAGATATATAGGAGAGCATGAAGGTTGAAGATTAGGGTAAAAGGTTATCACATACTCGAGCGATTTCTCTCTTTTAATTTCTACTAGATAGCAGGGTTCTAATCTAGAGCAACGTATCTGCCCCCTCTCCGTTTTCTTTTTCTTCTTCTTCTTCTTCTTCTTCTTCTTCTTCTTCTTCTTCTTCTTATTATTATTATTATTATTATTATTATTATTATTATTATTATTATTATTATTATTATTATTATTATTATTATTATCTTATTCTTATCTTATTCTTCAGTTTAATTTACTGTTATTTCTTTCACTTTAGTTACCTTTACTATATATTTTTGTTGTCATGTTTTTCTTTTCTTTAGTATTTTTATCTTAGCTTGTATTTTTCAAACTTATTTTGAAAATGCATTTCTTGAGCCAAGAGTCTGTTAGAAACAGTCTCTCTACCTCACATAAGATAGGAGTAAGATTTGCATAACTACACAGTCGAACATGTGTAGTGTCATGGGCTACTTTTCAGACACGCCCTATAACCCCTTGGTCGCTCCCCATGGCGGCCTAGCAAGCCTCATAATGCCTAGCACCATGGTCGGCCCCGTGGTCTTGGCTACGCCAAGTGACAAGCGCGCATGCGCCTCTGTCGCCCCACTGATGCCTCTCGCCAGCGCCCAACGGTTGGCCAATGACAACATCGTCGCGTGCACTGACAATGCCACGCGCGCAGATCCTGATGCCTTGCCAGCGCCCAGCTGCAGGCCCATTCCAGCAGCGCCTCGTGCACAGACCCTGATGCCAAGCACCAGCGCCCAGCCTCAGGCAAACACAACAAGTGTCGAGCGCGCCAACAGCACTGCGCGCGCAGACCCTGACCCGCAAGACAAAGTTGTTGCCATCAAACTTGTTTCTACATTGTAATAAACTAAATCTTTTTCATTGTAATTATAGGCTAGTACACATCATTTTTATTCAGTGTGCTTTTACAGCTTTATTAGAGCAAGTCATATAACTTTGGTTTATTTTTTTAAGCATTATTAGGGGGGATCAAGCAATCAAACATTTTCAAGCAATCAATTTTCTATACTGGTGTCTCTCCTCCTCGACACCGCATCTTTTGTAATCAGCTTTCATTCATCAATAAAATCATCATCATCATTCAAAACCCAATTCTCTCTCAGCTTCCGCAATTGCTCGTGACATTGGTTTTCCCGCACGGCACTGACAATCTGGTCTAGCGTGCGGAGGGGACCTCATTGGCGGACAACACCCACACTGACATCGGTTGCTTAGCCTTACGTTGCCCTTCCAAAGAACATCAGGAAGGCGTTGCGTAACAGTTGGTGTCAGAGCCTAGGCTCGACATCGGAAAAGGGAACACATTTGCCATCATCACCATTTCTGACCATGGTGAATCATGGGGAACGCCTAGCATCCCTAGAAGAGACGGTTGACCAATTACGACCCATCGTGGATACGGTGGATGATAAAAACAACAACCTAGTGCAAAGGTTGGACGACCTGGACCGCAGAATACGGCAGGCGAAAAATGACATTGCAAACATCAGTCGTGACTCTGAGGATGACCGGCAAACGGTAGACACTGAAACTGCCAATATTTATGGCAAATTTGAGGACCTCCAACAGGAGCGTGCCAACGATTTAGCCCATCGGGAACAAGAGGCAGACAGACTAACTGCCATGCAGCAAACCATAGACGACTTGACAGGCCAGCTCAACATTGTCAATGCTGCCTTACAGAGCCCACTTCGAGGAGGCGACAACCACATCAGGGGTGCATCATACCTCACCCCCATTCCACAAAACCTTAAGATACCGGAGCCAAAGCCATACGACAGATCCCGAGATGCTAAAGAAATGGAAAACTTCATCTTCGACATCGAACAATACTTCGATGCCATGGGCCATTTGGAAGAATCCAAAAAGGTAGCAACTGCTGTCATGTATCTTCAGGGCGATGCCAAACTTTGGTGGCGGGTCAAATACGAAGCCATCAGGGCCGGTGAAGATACTCTCCAGACATGGGATGAATTGAAGGCAGCCATACGCCTGCAGTTCTTCCCCGAAAATGTGGAATACAATGCAAGGAGAAAGCTATGGGAGCTCCGCCACACCAGGTCAGTGCAGGAGTACGTGCGCAAATTCTCCGCACTCATGCTAAACATATGCGACATGGGGGACAAAGACAAACTCTTCACATTCATAGAAGGTTTGAAACCTCATGCTCGTATGGAACTACAGAGACAACGGGTAGATACCCTGCCCAAGGCCATTTAAGCTGCAGAATGCCTTGGCGATTATCACTTGGGAACTCAGAACGACAGGCCTCAGCCGCCTGTCCGAGGGGGATTCAACGGGAACCATCCCAGCAATAGTGGCCCAAGCAAAAGTGGGGGAGATCGGAGTGCATCCAAAACCAAGACTCCTCCCTCCAGCAGCAACAGTGCTGCATCCATCAACAACAATCAGGGGAGAAAGCCTCCCTTAGAATGTCGTCATTGCGGCGGGGCACATTGGAACAATGAATGCCTAAACATAAAGATCAATGCTCATCAAACTGTCGAGGATGAGTCAGATGCATCAGACACATCAGAAGAAGACCAGGTAGGCGCCTTCAATGCAATTGTTGGCTCTATACCACATACCTTAGCGGGGACAAGTGCATATCCTCCTAAGAAAATCTCAAGCCCAATCACCAATAAAGGGAAGGAAAAGATGGACGAGAGGCCTCCTAACCAAGCGAGGACCCTAATGTTCGTCGAATTGAAAGTGAACAACAAGCCCATTCACGCATTGATAGACACAGGTGCTACCCACAACTACTTGGCTTCAACTCAGGTAGAGCGCCTGGGTTCTAGTTGTGCAAAAGAGTAAAGGCCGCGTCAAGGCTATCAACTCGCCACCCCAGACATTGGGTGGAACAGCTACAGATGTCCCAGTGAAAATCGGCCCATAAAAAGGAAACATCGACCTGCACATCTCAATCATAGATGACTTCGGCATAATAGTGGGTTTGGAGTTCATAAGGCAAACTAACACCACACTGGTACCATATGCCAACATGCTCCTAATGATGGGAGAAAACGGGGCTAAGCCCTACACCATACCGTGCATTCCCATAAAGATGGCCGCTAGAAACATCTCGGCCATGCAGTTGGAGAAGATAGCCAACAGACATGAACCCTTGGTTCTGGCTACCCTTTGCAACAACAATCAACCATCATGTCATCGGCCTCAAAAGACTGGTGACGCTCCTCAGTGTGTGAAGACTTGTCAGCCATGCCACGAGGACAAATCGGATCACTCATCACAGACAGGACCCTTGCAACCATTACATGTCCCTTAGAGACCATGGGAAAGTGTTTCCCTCAGATTCATCACGGAATTGCCCCAAGTCGGTAATCTTGCATCCATCTTGGTTGTCATAGATCAGTCTATGCAACCTTCATAGCAGCCCCGCGAAACATCTCAGCAGAAGATACAACTTGACTCTTCTTCTCGCACATTGTCAAACATTGGGGCCTGCCCAAAGACATTGTTAGTGGGCGCGACTGACGCTTCACTAGCAACTTTTGGACCCATCTCTTCAGGTGCTTTGGGTCGACACTGAGTCACAACTCAGACATCCATCCACCATTGGATGGCCAGACAGACCGGTTCAATGACATGTTGGAGGAATATATCCGCAACTTTGCAACCGGGTCCCAGAAGCATTGGGTGAGGCTCTTGGATGCTGCTCAACTGTGTTTCAATTCTCAAAAGAGCCAACATACAAACAAAAGCCCTTTTGAAATTGTTACTGGACAGCAACTGCTTCTCCCGCAAATGGTGAATGCTTCAACCAGGCTGAAATCTCTTCGAGCTGCCAACTTCTCGAGCGAATGGGAGCGCAACATGGGGATAGTGCGGAGCTATCTCGTCAAAGCCCAAGAGCGGGGAAAAAGTTTCACCGAACATAATCTGCTTTGCCCATCATCAAGCAGGGGACAAAGTAATGCTATGCATCCCAAAGCGATACTTGTTTGCAGAGAGGACCCATGACCCTCCCCTGCAACAAAAATACATCGGGCCCTTGCCCATTGAAAAACGCATTGGGAAGTCCACATACCAGGTGAAAACTCCATCCTGGTGGAAGATCCATCCAGTCTTTCATGTCAGCCACATGAAATCATTGTATCGCTACCAAAGCAAGCTCAAAGAACATAGGGGCGCAAACTTCCCAACCATCAACCACCAGAACAATCATCATCATCATTACCCTGACATGGCTCCGAGGACGGTGCCAACTCAAGTGGGGAAGAATTCCATGGGCTGCTTTCCAGACACGTCCCATGACCCCTTGGTCGCGCCCCATGGCGGCCTAGCAAGCCTCATAATGCCTAGCACCATGGTTGGCCCCGTGGTCTTGGTTGCACCAAGTGACAAGCACGCATGCGCCTCTGTCACCCCACCGATGCCTCTCGCTAGCGCCCAGCGGCTGGCCAATGACAACAACGNTTGATACCAAGCACCAGCGCCCAGCCTCAGGCAAACACAACAAGTGTCGCGCGCGCTAACAGCACCGCGCGCGCAGACCCTGACCCGCAAGACAAAGTTGCTGCCATCAGACTTGCTTCTACATTGTAATAAACTAAGTCCTTTTCATTGTAATTATAGGCTAGTTTACATCATTTTCATTCAGTTGCTTCTATAGCTTTATTAGGGAAAGTCATGTAACTTTGGTTTTTTTTTAAGCATTATTAGGGGGGATCAAGCAATCAAACATTTTCAAGCAATCAATTTTCTGTACTGGTGTCTCTCCCCCTCGACACTGCATCTTTTGTAATCAGCATTTCATTCATCAATAAAATCATCATTATTCAAAACCCAATTCTCTCTCANTCTCTCCCCCTCGACACTGCATCTTTTGTAATCAGCTTTCATTCATCAATATAATCATCATCATCATTCAAAACCCAATTCTCTCTCAGCTTCCGCAATTGCTCGTGACATTGGTTTTCCCACACAACACTGACAATCTAGTCTAGCGTGCGGAGGGGACCTCATTGGCGGACAACAACCGCACTGACATCGGTTGCTTAGCTTACGTTGCCCTTCCAAAGAACATCAGGAGGGCGTTGCGCAACAGTAGGTACTCAAATATTTTACCTGCAATCGCTATGAGACACTGATTTAAGATGTGTTGCATCACTTACTATATTAAATTGGATCACTCTTAATTGATTATAGTGTTGCATGGAGTAATTTGATTGATATAATATCTTGCTATTTCATTTCTCAAACTTCAATATATATTTCCTCTGAATGCAGATAGCAAGAGATCATTTTGAATTCCCAGTGGAATCTCCAAAAGCGACTGCCTTAAAGAACTGCAGCCGAGAAACAAATGTTGGACAAAACATGAGCTGCATTGGCTTAACAAATATTCATGAGTCAGGAAATTGCACCAGAAGAGCAAACCAATATGAGCAAAGAAGTAATAATATTACTCCTAACGGTTCAGATGATGGATACACTTGGAGAAAATATGGGCAGAAACATGTAAAAGGGAGTGAATTTCCAAGGAGTTATTACAAATGTACTCAACAAAATTGCCCTGTTAAGAAAAAAGTTGAACGTTCTCCAGATGGACAGATAACAGAAATTGTGTACAAAGGCGCACATAATCATCATAAATCTCAGCCTCCTCGACGTGCAACAATGAGTTCAACTGCCTATGGTTTGGGAGAAATGAGTGAAGGAAATATTGGTGGATCAAATAGTTGGCAATTTGGAAGAAATAAGGATGTTAGAGCTCCTTCAGGTCTGGACAGAACATCCTCTGCATCTGTTTTGACAGATGTCTCTGATTCATTAATGTTAAATTATCAAAACACCAATATGAATGCGTTTGAATCAGCTACTCCTGAGCCTTCTTCTACGCTTGCTAGTCGTGATGATGAAGACGAAGATAGAGCTACTGAAGGGAGCACTTCGCTTGGTGATGATGTTGATGATTATGCATTTGACCATAAAAGAAGGTATCTTTTTTTCATCTCACTAATTTATGTATAAGAATTTTTATAATATCAGTATCTGTTATACAAAGATAACTTGCTATCTTTAGATTACTAAACCCGTTGTGTGTGTACATGTTTGTCTGTGTGTCTAAATTGTTGATTGGCCTTAGGAGGAGAGAATTTTACTCAGCTGAAACGAGTTTATCGTCGAGGACAGCAAGAGAACCAAGAGTAGTTGTCCAGATAGAGAGCGAGATCGATATTCTTGATGATGGTTATCGCTGGAGAAAATATGGCCAAAAAGTTGTTAAGGGAAATCCAAATCCCAGGTATATATCTATTTTTGGACAAACATAGTTATGCTTATTTGTTCAAGTCTTTATATATCTAATATTTTATCAGTCATTAATACACTATTATAATAAAACATAAAGTCATATTTTTTCTTGTATAGGAGCTATTACAAATGCACAAGTGCAGGATGTCCAGTAAGAAAGCATGTGGAAAGGGCTCCAGATAACCTAAAGTCAGTCATCACAACATATGAAGGAAAACATAACCATGAAGTGCCTTCAGCAAACAAGACAAACTGTGCTATTTCTGGAAACCAAGCTTTAACTTCTACTTCAAAACCCCATAAAGTTTCCAATTCAGGAATGCAGGTTCAAGATTGTAATAGAAAGCCCTTTGACTATGTAAGAATAGGAGCTGCTTCATCTATATATGACCTGAAATTCCCAACTAATTTACGCAGCAGCCCTTTGTCCTACGCTTCTTTCCTTTTGAGCCCGAATCCTTTGCAGATGCCTGAATTCCCACTGCCAATGAGTCTTCCCTTTGGCCCTAATATTGTGCCTCCTCTTGCTGGATTTCATTTTAATGCTGGTGAGGATCAAAAGTATATATATTCACGACAACAACAAAAGTTCGAGACTAGTGAAAGGCAATGAAGAGTTCAAGAATGAAAATTATATTTGTGTGATCATCAAAATGGAGCATCATCTGCAGTATTTTGTGGCCAAATTATGGACAATTTTCCATCTTAGAAGACCTTAATTGATACTGGTCTTTGTTTTTTTAGGCTCTCTAAAGAGATAACATGTTACCAAAAAAAGGGGGGGAATGAGAGGATGGTCTTCAACATATTTTTGGTAGATGATCTGATCTTTAGTTTCAGACGATCATCCTTTTTGATTTCATGTAAAAATCTTTTTTCCAGTTTTCATGTTTTTGAAGGAACTTCTTTGAGCAAACTGCCAAGAAAGAAGATAATCTTGTTTTCTTTTGCTCCTCTTTCTGTCTAGAGTTACCGACCATTCCCCAAGAAGAAAAGAATATTACTGTATTTAAAAAGAAAAAAGAAAGCTCTCACTTCAAAAATTCACTTTTTTATTTGAAAAAATCAATTAATATAAGGTGGTTCTCAACCATTATTTTCAACGACGAAGGAGATTTCAAGTTTCAGGATTCAATTGCATTGTCGTTAACTCCCATTGTAGCAAAGACATCTTTTTTAATTGAAATTTTTCACTGCATGAGTTATCAAATGGTTCAAACAAAAGCAAAATGTCAATATAACTTACGTGTATATATATACATACAAGTAGGGGTGTACAAAGGAAACCGACAAACCGCACCAAACTGATAGAGTCAAACCGAGGAAACAAATCCGACTATGATTTGGTTTGGTGTTAGAAAAAAAAAACCCGACCATAATTGGTTTGGTTTGGTTTTAACTAAAAAAAGTCAAATCGAAACAAAACCAACGCGACATTACATGTAGACAAGTGTTAAAAATATTTTATATATAAAAATAATTATTGTAATGTGATTTATAAATATAATTTAAACTCTTTAATAGTTTTCTCTTTTAATATATTATTTCAAGCTTGGACTTAGAACTTTTGAATGATCAAATATGTTTTATAGCCCACAAAAGTTAGTAACTCAAATAAAACCCAAAGCAAAACTAAATCAATACTAATGTGACAAAAAAAATTCAATTCAATACTAGAAATGACAATAGTATTGGATATTTATTTTTTTAGTTTCACATTGATTTAGATAGTGAAAATGTATAACTCACTTTTAATATTATTTAGCATGTAATTAATACTTAGTATTTATTAGTCATACTTATTTTAACATGACTTAATACTTTTAGATTATGTTTATTTTTATTATGACTTATTAATTAACAATATTTATCTTACGCGATTTGTTGAGTATTTTAGTATAATTATGACTTATCTCACATTATTTTGTATTATTTTATTGGATAACATCTTATATAGTTTTATCTTTCTAGGACCTAAGAAATATTAGAGCACAAATTATAAATTTTATGCTATGAAGATTTTGTCGGAAAAAAACCCGAAAAATTCGAGAAAAACCGTGATTCAAAAACCCGACTTTTGTTGGGTTGATTTGGTTTGTAAATTTAAAAATCCGAGACAATTGATTTGATTTGGTAATTAAATAATCTGAACCAACCTAACCTATGTATACCACTACATACAAGTTCACTTTATCTTTCACTAGGTTGTTTTAACCCATGAAATCTTTTTTTTTCTCCGATGAAAAAAGAAAGAAGCGAGAGGTCGAATTTGAATATACAGTCTATCACTCAATCTGTATTTCATTATCTGCTTATAAAACATAATAAATAAGGTGACACTTGAACGCGTTTTGCAATCTGACTAGCTTTTCAGTGAATAGTTTTTTTTTAATGCAAAAAAGAGTTGTTCTAAGAAGAAAAGACATTCCAAACTATTACACAAATAGAGAAATGAAATAACAATTCGTTGGAGTATGATTTAAAGATAAATACAAAAACTAAAGAAAGGCGGGTGCAAAGTTAACAGACATCAAATTCACATGGTTTGGCATGAATAAATGAAAAATAAACTACCACTCTTTTTCCCTATGTATATGAGAAGAATAAATGTTAAAGGGCACACAAAAGAACCGATGAACTTTAACTTACTTCAAGAAAGAGTTGATAAAATGAGCATCTGCAGTAGCTGCGATAACAAGTTTATATGGAACATGACGATTCTCGTGCCTCATCACAATCAAGTCTAACATAACTAAGCAACATGAAAGTTCGAGTTAAGAGATCTACAACCTTTGGGAGATTTGAACTTAAACTATCACTCATCTACACAACAACAATAAACCCAGTAGTTTTCCACAAGTGGGGTCTGGAGAGGATAAGATATACACAACCTTACCCCTACCCCTGGAAGGACAGAGAGGCTGTTTCCGATAGACTCTCGGCTCACTCATGTACACAAGGACTTGGAAAAGATAAAAGCATTTTGAAAAAAATGAACCACGGTGTATAAAAAATGTATACACACAAGTCAACCAGGGAACTGTACCTAACAACATGATGACACAAAAGTTCTCATGACAACAAACAAATGTGATAGGAGAAGAAAACTGAGAGAACCTCAGCGGCTGGACATACGATAGGAAATTGATTCCACTCGAAAAGGAAAAACATTAGGACACAACTTGCAGCCACAACACATACACCACAAGTATACCACATTGCAATAAGTAGAACTTGCAATAGGAAACAGGTGCATAACTGGCAAACTGAATAGATTACCTGAAGAAGACAGACTCCTATCTTTAGTACCCATGTCTTACATCAAAACCATACATGGCCTCCATATTCAAGACGAATGCATAAGATAGCGTCAAACCAAAAAGCATATTAAAAAAATGACTCATTAGTCAACATCCTAAGAGCAGCTAAACACTTTGGATAACCCAAAATCAACTTCATGGATTGACCATTCTATCATCCTTAAGTAGCTAAAATACCACCAATTCTCTACAGTGATACATGAGGCACCTACATACGTAAAATCAACAACAGAAGAGGCTAGGCCTCTGTCTTAACAGGAAAATGAACATCATTATACTGATTTCAGTTTGCTCATCTTCAAACTACTTGCTACTATTTAACCGACAGAAATCAATAGAGACATAAACATGCATGTTGACTTTCAATAAGAACCTTTAAGCAATGATGAAAGGTAGGCAATTACAATCTAAAGATTATCATGTAATGTAATTAACAGAAACTTGGTAAGCAGGCTTAAATCAGAGACCAATCCTTTTCATAGTCCAAACTTTACGTATATGCATAATGTAAACAACTATCAGTGTCCTAGGTGCTGAGGCATACCAAAGATTGGAACTCACAATCTAAGCATGTGGTGCAGGTGCACACACACAAATCCGATAACTTTATGCTTTGACAATTTGCACCCCAGTGAGCAAAGTTAACAAAACAGGGGACACAAAAAGGCAGTAAATTTAACATAAACAGGGAAAACATAGTGGCTGAAAGCATGGCTTTGGTTCTTCTAATCCAGCACTCAGCATCGATGAATACAATCTCCTAACTTCCACCAAGCAAAAGCACACCCAATTTACTAGTCTAGCAAATCCAACAAACTCCTCAACATTTGGTGACAATCAGCAAAACCGATTTCAATGTATTGTGAGCCAACGGGGTAACATGTGGGAAAGATGACAAAAGATGAAAAAACTTAAAGGAAATAATAATACTAACATCATGAGTTTACAAAAGCTCTTAAGTGTGTAATACTAACATAAGTTGCTCCAACAACTTCCTCTCTATCACCACGGTTTCTTTTTTTATTCTTTGGCTAAAATTGTACCCGATTAGAGACCACATCTCAATATGAAAACAAAGACAAAAGCAGAAGCGGCATCAATAACATTGGTGATAATAGAAAGCAACTACCTAACTAGACTCATATGCTCTGCCATAGTGAACAATTTTGGTTAGCACTTAATAGTACCCTTTTCCCTTATTATCTAAATCAATACATCAAAATCTGCTACCCTCTCAAGAATATCAGCATACAAACAGAAGAATAACTCAAATTACACTACAGTCACTAGAGATAATGATCCTAGAGCAATAGCAATATATCAGCTAATTAAGAAGCCATTAAATTCCCAACAAAAAAGAACAACGGAAACCATCATACATAAGCACAAACAACAAAGCCAGACCTGTACCTTCTTTCGTCAAGTATAAAACTTTCCTAATCTCTTCTCCAGAAGCTCCTCTGTAAAGAAACCAATTTTTTCTTTGTTCAAATTATATCTTAGACTAAAAATCCAAGCAAACAAAACATCAAAACATAATACCAGATATGAACACAAACTTCTTTTTTGAGAAGGCATAAAATTACAGCAACAGAAACTAGACGTGAATTCTAAATTATTCAGACCCACGACTATCATCCCTATTTAACATCAAAAATCAAACTCACGGCACTGAAAATAAAATTCTAACACACAATCATTAAAGGTCATGACCCTAGAGCTCTCTCCCAACAACAATAATACACCAGCTTACCAAACTACCAAGAAACTCCGAAGGAAACCATCATATATAAGCAAAAACAACAGCAAGTTCCAATCAATAGGATCCTGTCTATTCTTTTTCTTTGTCAAATAAAATCAGAGACCTAGAATCCAAGGAAACATATCATCAAAAACGTAATCACATATATAAGAAAGCAAAGTATTCCCAGAACAACAACCACAACCATAGGATAAGCTCAGCAGCAGTAACTTGAATATAGCCAAGAAACATATGATAACGATTACAGCACCAGAAACTAAAACGTGGGGTTCGAATATATTTATTATTCATGTCAACCCACAAAGACTATTATTATTATTTTACTTCTTGAGACTGCCACGGATACCGGGTTTAGGTTTGGTGTTGCTGGGCTCAGCAACAACAGTGGCATGAAGATTGGTGAGCTTGGCTTCATCAAAGGGAATCTTAGGATGTCGAGCATCGTGATGGATCTTCATAGACTTGATATCAGGTGCTGTAACTTTGCAGAGCGGGCATTCCAGCTTGGCGTGTCCACCCTTTTCGATACCAGTCCTATCGGCTAACCCAGCTTTGCCTCCGCCCCTGTTGGTCAGTGCTGCGTCTGCCTTTGCAGCTAACTCCTTCGCTGTGTGCTTCTTTGGCTTTGCTTTTCCTGTCATGGCGATTGGGTATTGGATTCTTTGGATTCGTGTCTCTTTGAGGCGAAGGAAATTTTGGGAGAGAAAACCCTAGGTGGATCCTACTTTGTATTGGAAGGGGGATGTATAAAGGGCAAAAAAGATGGATTCTTTTTTCTTTTCTTTTTTCTTGGAAAGAATTGGTATGAACTGAAGTATACCGAACAAATTATTACTCCAAGAGGGGAAAAAAAAAACGATAA